CGTTTTTGAGCCGAGCCGTTGATTAGCTCGGCTAAACCGATCGGCTCACGGCTCTGCAGAGCCGTTATGCATCACTATGTGCAGGACACTACTATATTAACATGCTGTATATTCTATTTTATACACTTTGGTATAATTGGCAAATGAAGGTCTTTATCAATATAATTATGTCATTTTGAAATCTACTCGTTACAGGTGATACTAGTTCTGTGCGGCATCACATGCCATGGCTCATTTATTTTTAATGACGCTATGTGTTCGATAAAAAATTTTCGAGATCTAGATCATAATATAATACAGTATATGTTATACGCATTTCATAATGCAATGAATATGCATATATAATATTTATAACATAGAGATTTTTTCAAGCAGCTCCCTCGATATAATTTCCTAGCAAATGAGATACTGCTCAATCATTTTACTAATCAAAATTAATTGACAAAATTCATTAGATGAAATTCAGGTTTTAAATTTTAGACATTCAAGGTAACTTTATAAATAAAGTGGTTGTTTTTTTGACTGGATGATTAAACAAGATCTAATACCATACAAAAATGTTCAATTTGCGTCTCTCTTTTAGTTAAAATAGCAATCGCTTGTATACACAACACCATAAAATAATGAACCAAAGCATACTAGTACAAAAGGACCGCAAGATAAACAACATTTATCATGAAACTTAATATACAATATAACACTACCATGCCTAACTCCTTTAAACAAGCACCTTGTTTTAAAAAATATTAAATCCAACTTGTTATTCAATTATGTGCTAACATCTAGTAATTAATAAAAAAAAAAAATAACATAATAGCTACAATATATTATTGAAAAGAATTATAATTATTTAAAGGAATTACAATGTACCATTATGATTTAAAGAAATCTTACAATACTATCTATTATTATCTACGTATAATAATAAATGTTTGTGTCATTTGTGCTCATCATGGTATTTCTGTTCATCATGTCATTTGTGCTCATCATGGTATTTCTGTTCATCATGTCATTTGTGTTCATCATGGTATTTCTGTTCATCATGTTGTTATTTTCTTGTTTAGCAACATCATCTTGCAAGTAATCAACATCAAATATACGTTCTTTTAAAAACACTTCTAAAGCGTTAAGCCTATTATGCAATTGTATAACATCTAACTGGGCTCCAGAATTATTTGCAAAAGGAATTACAGGAAAAGCGGATCTTAATTTTTTACAAGCATTACGACGAAAACATGGACATTTTATTACACAGCCAAATGGATTAAGTTTATCAATACCTAATTAGACAAATATTAAATTAATTCTCAAAACGTATTAGAAATTTTTAAAAGACAAGATATTTGCTTTATTACCGAACAAAAAAACGTAGATCCCTACTGCGATAGTCCATAAACTTCCAACCAAACCAAAAGTACTTAATAACTATTAGATTTAAAAAAAAAAGCAGTATCTTTTTAGTTATGCGAAAATAATACAGATCATAATCTTATATTGACTTACAGTTTTTAATCTAAAAATATAGTAAATTAGAAAATTTTTATTGAATTAATTATAATTATTATGATTATTATAATTAATAAATATGTTCACCTTTGTTCGGACTGCATATTAACCACATAATTTTGTGGAGCCATTATCAATCCAGACAAAAAGTTAGAGCTGGAAGTAGCACTAACGGTAGAAGCAGGCATCGATTCTGAAAAAAAAAGGATATAAAAGCTCATTAAAAAGAAAGTAAAATATGACTTTTATTGATCATGCTTACTAAAGTTGGGTAACGAAACCCGAAACCTTTTCCGAAACTCTATACTATACTGAAAGGGTTAGAATTTTAATTTTGGACTTTAAGACATAAAATAAAGTACATGATAATTAGATTGCATTTCAGAAATGGTTTGGAGTAAATGTGCATTAGTTATTAACATTCTAATTGAAGGTTTCGGAAAGGTTCGGGTCATAACTAATGCTTACGTATAAGAGGATCAATATATGTAGTTTTTTCCATTGATGGAGCAAATCCTAATAGGTCTGAAAATTTTGGTGATATTACATTTCGAATACGTCGCGTAAACCAAAAAAATTCCAGCTTTAGAAAATAGATAGACAAGTTACTATTTGAAAATGCTTAGAAAGTTATAAGAATATACAGTATTTGCTCAATTAATAAATATACTTGATTAGTTGGCATAACAAAACTGGTGTATAAATCACTAATATTATTACTATAAGTAATTAATTGTGTAAATGCTGTTTGATCTATTTGACCATTTGTAATCGGTAATGGGTTAGACTCTAATGAATAATGAAAAAGTTATTTCTATTAATAATTTTATAAAATTATTTTTTTAAAAAAGTATTACGTACGTACCAATATCAGTAATATACACTATTCCATAATTAGGATTGCTTGACGTAGAAGCAAGGGCTATTGATAAAGAATTAATGCCATTTGGCATAAAAGTTTCACTTGTTTTAAAAAAACTCATATACATCTTTGATTTGGAATCATATTGTATGTTTGATAAATATTGGTTGCATGTTCTATTTCCTTGATCATCTATTATTAGATATATTTATGTCTTAATACTAGAATGATTATTGGATTATAACAAAAATAACAAAATGACCACTTACAAGTCGTAAATCCGCATGTTAAAATAAAACTATTTGCATAAGTGAATAACAGAACTGAAATATAAAAAAAGTATATATTTGTTTTTTTTAGCATCACTCAATATGCATGTGGCATAAATTCATTAAAGAATTTACCAGGCATAGGAAGACTCTGTACGTGTTCATAACTTTGTATTATGGTTGGGTTTTCTGCTGTTATTTCAATAATCAAAACCAGGAAATAGCTCAATAAAAAAATAATCAATATAAGGATTGACAATCCTCTTAGCAAAAGGAGACTTTTGGGCTCCGTTCGCTGGTAGCGGCCATATAAATCTAGAAAAATCATTTTTGAGTTGTCCGCTCTCAATAAGTGAAGTTTATTATTTTTATTTATTATATTTTTTTTTAATCATTAAGGGCTTATTTATGTTTATAAATTATTTATTGTATTACATGCGTTCGTAATTATGGCAATAATGTAAATTACCTGTCAAACTGTACCTTTTAGGGTCGATCTAAGTCTTGATAAATAAACATATTGTAATTTGAAATATTAAAACTAATTGTTACAATACGTAGTAGGTTTGATTTAAATTGTGTAAATATTCAGATCATTACGAGTTAAGGTAATTATATAAAGGACTATTTAGTCATACCATTTTATGTATCTATAACGTTAAACAGGAGGAAACGTTGATGTTACACGACTGATTTTACACACGGTATGAAACACATAAAAAAATAATTCTACAATACTTGATCGGACTTGATCAGTCAGCTAGTACATGCTATGATTATAATCCAATATCATTTTTTATTATAAAAAAATGGTGTTGGATTATAATCATAACATGTACTAGCTAACTGATCAAGTCCGATCAAGTATTGTAAAATTATTTTTTTATGTGTGTAAAATCAGTCGTGTAACATCAACGTTTCCTCCTGTTATAACGTTATAGTATTTGTGTAATATTCTTGCGTTCGAGATTACTAAAACGCACCACTAGTGTTCAAAAGCAAAACAAAAAATAAATCAATAATTTATCAAATATTAGTTTAGAGTTAGTAGTTAGAGATTAGGGTGAGGCTTAGTATATAGTAAATATTTACAAGGAATTTTTTTATTAGAAACTAAAAGATGGTTTCATAGGCAAAATTATAAACTATAGATATTTTTTTAAAAAGCCAAGCAAAATTTAATGTTACACCTAATTTTTATGCATTTAAAATTTTGATTGGTAAAAATTATTGTGGTGTTGAACAGCAGTGGTGCGTTTTAATAATCTCGTTCTTATTTGATTTTTAAGGATTAAATGCCTTTATTTTTTCAAAAACTATGTATCACACCTGTGGTGTTCAACACCACAATAAATTTTTGTTTATAGTTGCAGTGTAGCATAAAATCAAAATAATTTTTATCAAGATAAGATCAGGGTTAAGGTTAAAGTGTAGAATGAGGCAGGAGTAGTTTATATCAATATTTTCGCAAGGAATTTTTTTGTTAGAACGTGGTTTCATAGATAAAATTTTGAGCTATACACTACAGCTTATAATAAAAATTATTGCGGCGTCGAACACCAGTGGTGTGATTTAGGTATTACTGTGAAATTAATACATTTATATAAAACTTTGCCGGCAGGTACTATGTAAATACTGTCGAAAATTTTCACATAACTTCCGAAAATTTAATTAAAATCATGTGACAAATTCTTATATAAAAATCTGCGGAAGTAATATAATATTTTTTCGTAAGTTTATACGTCATACCTGTCATATAAACTAACTATCTGGTATGATATACGGATCAAGGACATCGACAGTATAATTGTAACGCACGAGGCCTTCGGCCACGTGACTTTTGCTATTATCTTGCCGATACCCATTAGGGTTCTGCAAACCCGGCATATCCCGCTGCAAAAAATGGGCATATTAGGCACGGGCATAACTTTACTTTAAATTTTAGGCACTGGCACAAGTAGTATTAATGCCCGGCACGGTGCCAACAATGCCAGGCATATTACATATTTATACAATTAGTTATTAATTATAGCATTCGGTTTTTAACTTTTTTATAACTTTTTATATATCAAAACAAACACATGTCGATTAGAAATAGCAAAATAAAATTATGATATCGATATTTATTTGGTAAAAAAAATAATTATAATATAAGTTTCAAATTTTCGTTAGGTGGCTTAGTTATATAGATAGAAAATTATGAGTTATAATGTGAGTTAATAATTAGATAAAAGATAGTATATTCTGATAAAGAAAAAAAGAAATAAAATAAGATTTTAGTTTAAAATAAATGATAAAGTGTAAAGCGTCATAAATGCTCAGATCGATCTAAATTAGCTAATCT